TTTTTTACACAGTGGAGTACTACTCTGCCATAAAGAAGAATAAACTTGAGACATTTCTAGCTAAGTAGATGCCCCATGAGACTATACTCCTAAATGAAATAAATGGGGCACACATGTTGAAGAACCACATGGTTTTTCTGGTATGAGAAACCCAAAGTGTAAATATGGACCAAAATGTATAATAGATATTGTGAAATAGGAAGAAAATGTTCAAATGGGAAGGGGAACTAGGGAGGGGGTAGGGGTAAAAGGAGGAAGGGAAAAGGGAAAAAAGAGGGTAGGAGGAAAAATGTAGAAACAACGCTTTTGTAAATAAGGAGGGGGAGGGAGGTTGAAGGGAGGGGAAGGGAATGGGGGAGAAAGGAGAATCAAGACAAATTCCGTGTGATGAACGTTATCATTGTGTACATCTAAAATGTATCAATACAGTTAATTTTAAAAATAGTATAGCTAGCTTAGTGCACGCCAGGGCCTGAGTAAGCACGGCACACTGAGGAGGTGTGGCTTGCTCCCCAGCATGGACAGGTGCAGCAGATTTGAGGAAACTCAAACCAGCTGGGTTCCCCAGCTGGAGAGCCCTGAGTAAATTGCTTAACCTCTCTGTGCTTCAGTTTCCTCCCTGTTATATGGAGTTACCATCGGTTTACCTTATTAGATTTCTATGAAGATTCCAGAAAGTAATAGATTCACAGTGCTCAGAATAGTGTCTGCCACTATTTATCTGTCCACACTCAATTTATCTGAGCATCACAGCGGCCATCTGATGTTAAATACTTTTTATGCCTAAGAGAAGACTGAATCTCAGAGAGGAAAGCCCTGCCCCAGGCTGCACAGCCAGCAAGTTGCAGAACTGGGACTCATTCTTGATTTGGCTTCTCAAAGCTCAGGCTCTTACAAGGATGGGTGGGGTGGCTGGCACATTTGTAGGTGCTAGTTGCACCAGGGAATTCAGACTTCCTACCCAGCACCAGCCTAGCCTGGATGCAGCTCCTTCCCCACCTCCTCCTGGCCTGTGATGGGCTCTGAATTTTCTACAGCTTACGTCCTGCATCACCACGTCCAGCAGAGCCCTCGTAGGCTTTGGAGAAAACCAAATGTATTTAGCATCAAGTCAGAGAAGTGTCTCATTTTTCTTAGTGTTAATCTACTATGTTGTCTTTCCTCGCTGAACTTTGAATGAGTTCACTGAGGACAGGCTGGATTTGTGTCTTCTTAATAACACTGCCTGATTCCAAAGCCTGCTTAAGGAGAGCCCTGAGTCAGGGCTACTTTACTATGTTCTCTTTCTTTTCACTTTGCATTTCATAAAATATAATTGCTGGTCTGAGAGTGAGGAGGATTAGAATGATATAGAGGAAGTGTCACAAGCTTTGGAATTAAACAGACCTTGTTTTAAACCTGTTTTCCCACTATCTACTTGGATAATTCGAGGTAAGTGAATTATCTCTGAGTTTCAGTTTTACTGCCTGTGAAATGGGATAACAATAGTCTCTAACCATTGAAGCAATGAAACACATAACATGGCATAGTCCATGATGACCATTCTATAGCCGTTAACTAATAATAATGATGATGATGATGACGATGACAGCAACTCTAACGTGATCCATAATGAAATAGAAGATGTGATAAGTACTTTACATATATCATTTCATGAAGATGATATGTGAAAAGCAATGGGAATAGTGGCTGCCAGGAAGTAGGTGCTCAAGAAATGGTAATATTGTCATTGGCAGTAATAGCTGCAGAGCAGTCTCCCTTGGCATCTATGGAGGATGGGTTCCAAGACCCCTATGGAAACCAAAATCCATGGATGTTTGTGACCCTAACATACAATGGTGTAGCATTTGCATGTAATCTACACACATCTTTGGGACTATTTACATCACTTCCAGCTTGGTTATAGGACCTAATACAGTGTCAGGGCTGTGGGAATGGTTGTTACACTATATTGTTTAGGAATAATGAAAAGAAAGAGTCTGTATAATGCTCGGTACAACTTTTCTCCCAAATATTTTCTATCCATGGTGGGTTGAATTTGAGGATGTACAACAGATATGGAAGGCTGACCGTATTTAATTCTTACAACAAACAGGAGATGTTACTATTTTGTGTGAATCAGTTTCATATTCTGTGGAGAATCTAGCCAAGCACAGGCCATTACCATTCATTTAAGAACCATGACAGGGAGCACAGAGGAGGAGCCCTTGATCAGGGCCGGAAGGGGGTGTGGCAATTTCATGGAGGTGAGCAAAGCTGAGGTTGGAGGGAGCGTAGAGCTCTCTGCTGAGAAACAGCGGAAGGCAGTCATTCATTCATTTATTCATCCAATCTCTCGTCCATTCAGCAAGTAGATATGAATACCGTCTGTGCACCGGGCGCTGTCCCTGGTGCTGACGGGACCGGGCTGACCAGCACAGGCAACAACCCTGCCCTTCTGCAGCTGATAGTAGGGGGCTGGGGATTTAGTTCAGTGGCAAAGCGCCTGCCTGGCAAGCGCAAGGTCGTGAGTTCGGTTCCCGGTACCGGAGAAAAAAAACCATGAAGCTGACAGTATTGAAGTGGAGGTATAGAATCAACTGAGAAGCAGACAGACACAAGATGCTTGCATATGGTGATAGGTGTGTCACTAAAATAAAGCTGGGAGTGTGGCATGACCAGGTCTTTTCAGTTAAGACCCTCTGGGAAGCACCTGCAGGAAGTGAGGATTTGGCTAAAGACTCAGTGGAAAGGAAAGGGCAGCCATGCAAAGATCAGGAGAAGAGCATCCCAGGTAGAAGGGACTGCGTGTGCACAGCTCCATATACAACGGACTTGGTGTGTTTAATGAAGAACAAAAAAGACAGTGGGCCGAGTATGGTGAGGGATGGGGAATGTCATGAGGTTGGAAAGGTGGCCACAGAGAGGAGTCTAAGCAGGACAAGCGGCATATCTTAAGTTGCAGGCCTGTGAAACTTTGAGACTTCCACAGGACCAGCTAGAGCTTGGAGTGGCCAGGGTGAGACGGAGCTTGGTGAATGGAGGTAAATAGAAAGAAGCCATCATGGCTTCCGCATCAGGGTGGGGCCTCGCTCTTCACCTGCACTCAGGACAGGCTCCTTCCCAGGTCAGCCCACTCCACCTGCTGAGCATCCCTAGGAACTCCAGGCCAGGGTAGATGCTTTCATGACTGTTGTCTCATTAATTCTCATGACTGCCTGGAAGGAGCAACTATTGTCCTCATTTGATAGACGTCAAAACTCAGGCACAGAAGGTGAAGCCATGTGCTTGGAGCACACGGCTGGCTGCAGGTGGGGTTGTAATAGCAATCCAAGTCCCCCAATGTGTTCTGCCTCTTTCACCCACCCCTGCACCTCCCTACAAACACTGCGGTCTTGATGAGGAAGAAATCTAGGAAATTCCCAAGGGAGGAGAGATAGGGTCTTCTGGATGGCTCCTGTGCCCAGTACAGGATGGGACTGGGGAATGTGCTCCTGGGGACAAATTTCTTCCATTAATGCCTCAGTTTGGAAGGGATTTTCTGTGAGCTGAATTATAGTGGAACACAAAAACCAGCAAAGTTTTCCCTCTGCCTCGATCAGGGGATTACTCTCCCATCCCATCTGGCCTGGGCTCGTGAATCCAGGTTGTGGCTCCCTCCTCAGCATGGACAGGTGCAGCAGATTCAAAGATACAGTCGCAGAGAGCCAAACATTCCAGCCAGATGCATCGGATTTCAGCTCCCACACTGCCTCTGACCAGCTGTGGAGTCTGGATCCAGGGTCTCTACTTGTTCAAACCTCAATTTCTACATCTAACTGGGTATAGGATGGTCGGTGCTTGTTCAAGCCCATGAAATTTAGTGCAAATCAAAGAAAAGCCCTTTCTGACTGCAAAAGGCTGAGGAAACACTGTGAAATACACCCAGGGAAATGATGTCCCCTGAGAATCATCACCAAGGGACCCGGTGTGGTGCACCAAAAGACAGTTTGATGGAGCCCAAGCCCTGCCACTTAGTAGCCATGTAACTTTGGTGCCCTCATTTCCTCATCTTTACAAATGGGACTAGTTACAGTAATTCACAGGGTTGAGTAACAATTCGATACACACAAAATGCTTACGACACTACCTAGGCCTGAAGGGCTCAGCAAATACTGGCTGTTTTTATTTTCATGTATATTTAATACGGAATGAAAAAGGCTTCAGGGGTGGAAGTCAAGCTTTGAACCCTAACAGATGTGGTGTTCAAACTTCCCTGTTGGTGAGCTGTATGACCTTGTGCAAGCTACTTAATTTCTTTGAGCTTCAGTTGTCTCCCTGGTGGACAAGGATGATAATGAAATCTGCCACATATGTGTAGCTGTGACTTCATGACAGCTGGTTCCCAAAATGGCACGTGTTTAAATTTAAATGTCTATTACGGTAAAAGACACATTACTATTAGTTCCCCTCAGAATATTCCATCTTGCTTCGAACATACTTATCCCACCATTCTTGCCACTTTCTGGAGCAGTTCTGGAAGTCCTCTTTTGTGAGTGGCTTTAGTTCGGCAGTCCTGGCTGCCTCGATGTCTTGAACAGACTCAGAATGTTTACTTTTCCTGGTCGTTTTGGCCATGGGGAAAAGCCTGGGTTGTAGGGTGCCAGATCTGGTGAGGAAGGCGGATGAGGACACACCATGTTTCCTACGAGCCTGCCTCTGTTGGGTGACACTCAGAGCAACATTCACTGCATTTTTTAAAATCACACCTCATGAAGACACTCATGAAAGAGGACTTTCAGAACTGCTTCAGAAAGCGGTAAGAATGAGATACGTGTGTTCAAAGCCAGGAGGTATATTTTGAGGAGGGGACGCAGAATTCATGGCAATGTGTCTTTTACTGTAATAAATTTTTTTAAAAATTTAAACATTCACCATATATTTTGATCGCATCAAAATGCTGAAAACTGGCAGCTGTTATTGTATCATCGCTGTTCCCCTTCGGTTCCCTCAGCCCTTCCTGGTGGTCCTGCCGCTCTTACCTCGCTCCTCCTCCTTCTCCCGGACAACCCTCCCCTTGAGGGCGCGGTTCCAGGCCCCGCCGTAGTCGCCCAGCTTGGTTCTCTCGCTGGAGTCCTTGCCCTTGAAGGAGGGTCCGTACCTGCGGGCGATGCTTGAGGCTTCACCCGCGTCGCGGAAGCCTCTGCCCAGGTGCAAGTCACCCAAGAAGGGCAGCTCGGCGCCCTCGGCCGGGCCTCCCGCGGCGGGGTTGGCCTGGTTCTGGGAGACGGCTGGCTGACCCATGAAGCCAGAGTGCAGGAAGACAAGGCTCCCGGCAGTCAGGTAGAGAGCCAGGAAGGTAAAGAAGCGCACGGGTTTCCTGCGGAAGTACCGCTGGAATTTGAACCAGAGCTTGGCCATAGCGGGATCATTCCGGCCTGGCTGGGCTGGCAGGGTGGAGACGGGAGGGAGGAGGCTTGGTTACCCAAGCTTCCCTTAAGGATGGGACCCTTGGGGCTCCACAAACTTACTCCCTCTGCACAGGGGGGCGCCGAGGCCGCGGTGAGAGGGCAAGTCCAGCTCTTGGCTGAGGCCAAGAGGAAGGAGGACAGAGCTCAGTGGCCTCCCAATGTCAAGGTGAGCTTCCTGGGGCCAAGAAAGGGGACACATAGCAGGTAACTCCATTTTCCTACATCTCGTTCTTCACCTCAGGGAGGTCCCAGGGACTCCAAAAGTAGTCATTGGAGAGGGGTCCAAGGGTTGCCAGCCCAGGAGTCACTCCCTCCCTGTTCTCGGCTTCTCAGGCCTGTTGGAGCAGGAAGAATTCACTGAGGGCCTTGACTCTGGTCTCTCCCACAGCTGGGGACCAACCTCCGTGTGTCCGCCTTCTGGGAACTGAAGCTGATAGCCTCCATCCAGTCAAGCACCAGGGGATAGGGCTGCCACCTGCAAAAGAGCACAGATAAGGCATGAGGAGCCCCTCACCGAGGCACAGGGCTTTTTAAAGGTGTCACCAGCATCCTCAAGGGAGAGTTCAGAGGCTCAGAAAGGGGAGGAGACTGCCAATGGCCCAAATGGCTCAGCAGCAGAGCTGAGAGCCCAGGCCTGAGCCTTCCAGAACACTGCCTTTCTTTTCAACCAGACTGCAATGGGTAGGGGGAGCGAGAATCCTCCTGGGCCCCAGTTTTGGCACAAACTTTATCTCAGCCAAGAACAAGTCCTTATGGGCTCGTGGTTTATGGCTGGTACCTGTGGCAATTTGTTCCAGGACCCTCCATGAGTACCCAGACCCACAGATGCTCAAGTCCCTCATCTAAACCGGTATAGTATTTTTATAGAACTTAAAGGAACCCTCCTACACACTTTAAATCACCTCTAGGTTGCCTACAATGTTAAATACAATGTCATGTTCTGCACATAGTTGCTGTACTGCATTGTTTTAATGGTAAGAAAAGGTGTGCATGTTTACAGTAGATGCAACATTTGCCAAGTATTTTTGATCTGTAGTTGGTTGAATCTGGAGATGCAGACTCTGCAGATACAGAGAGCTCTGTACTTCCTACATATTTTCAAATACACACTGATCCCCCTGGGTGCAAAAAGCCAAATTCATTCATTTCTCTCCCAACAAACATTTCATGAGAACGAGTATGCTCCCGGCACTGTCCTAGTACCTGTTGTAGGTACTGGAAATTAAGCCACAGAGCCAGAGATGATAACATTCCTTTCCCCACAGGGCTCACATCCTACTGGCAGAAATCAAGTCCAAGGGCTCTCTCCTCCATCCAAGGAAGAAAAGAAAAATGAAGGGAAGCAGGATTATTTAGCAATGCAGTTATCCATTCAGTATTTATTGAGTGCTTACTGTGTGCCCAGCTTTGTTTCACCCCGTCCGTATATTGTCTCATTTATTTTTCTCATTCCTAGGGTAGGTAACTACTTCTGCATTCTACAGATGAGGATAGTGAGGTTACAGAGCTAGCAGAGTTAGGGTTTGGAACCAAAAGGGTCTGAATCCCAAAGCATAGCTCTTGTCTACTGCCTTTTTGATTCTGCTTTTCCCCCACATAGTCTGAACATCACCTGGAAATTCAGAGACATGAACCAATATCCCATCTCCACTGTGTCCCAGTTTCTGGAAGTGGCTCTGCCTTTATGAGAGTCTCCGTGAGGATAGTCTAAAGAACCTCTTGTTCCGATGCCCCTGAGTGCTTGGTAAACACGAAGATTCCTGACTGCTCTAACCAGTACCTCTGGTTGAAACAGAAACCTACAGGCATCACAAGGTGCTCTCAGATGACGGTGATAAGCACAGAGGGTTGGTAACCACTGCTTTGTGAGTAAATGCTCAGGGTCATGAGCTAGGAGAAAGAACGTAAATTAGAAAACAGAGAAACTCCACTGGGACTACTACCAGCAGGGGGCACCACGACAATCCTCGCCAATACAAGGAGACTCAGGTTCACAGTGGATGATCCGAATCGTGACAGGTCTTCTTAATTCAGATAATACCCTGGGATTTTAACTGTGGTTTAGAGTCTGATATCCCATCTATTCAGTAACTATTATTCAGTAACAATCACCTCATAGGCATTTGGAATAGGTAAGTGAACAAAACGGACAAAAATCCATGCTCTTGTGGAGTCAAACCATCCATCCATCTACTCATCCACTCACTTATCTGTCATCCATCCATCAGCCCACCTACACATCCATTCATTCATCCATCCATCCATCCATGTGTTTGTCATTCATCCATCAGACCACTTATTCATCTTCTCAATTAGTCATCCATCCAGCCCTCTGAATTGTACAATCCATCCATTCATTCAACTCCCTACTAATCCAGGTATCCATCCATTCTTCCATTCACTCAAAAACATGCTGATTGTCTATTATATGTACTAGAGATGCAGGAATAAATAATTCAGAATCTCCACTTTCAGAGAATTGAGGGTCAACCAAGGGAGAAAGCAATTTAAACAATAACTATACTACATAGGCAATGGTAAATCCCATAGTAGAAGTATGTGTATATATGATATAGACCCTAATTAGTAATGTTTATTGAGCATTTAACATAGGTCAGACATTGTTCTTTCTATACATACATACTCTGATACATTGCTCATAACAATTCTATAAGAGAGACTTGTATCTATTTTACAGAGTTGCAGAAATGAGTATCAGAGTGATTATGTAACTTGTTCAGAATCACACAGCTGGTAAATGGCAGCTGGCTTGTGAATCTAGGGCCACCTGACTTCAAAGCCATATTGCTAACCACGCCCCTACTCTTGTGTCTCTTGAGAAAGCAGACAACTACAGACATACACCCAGAAAAGAGCCTTTTTACTTAAGCTTTCAGACTTTGCCTTGAAATGTCAGAAGGTTTGTGAACTCTGGTGTGGGAAGCCCTGGAGGGTGGGAGCTGAGGCAGTGAGGGTCTACACTTGCCTGGGGGGATCAAAGAGAGCTTCCCCAGGAGTTGTCTTTGACTTGAAAGGTCTTACAAAAGAAGCAAAAAGTCTTGCAAGACTAGCAAAAGTTCTGTGGATGAAGGAGCAGCAGAAAGGCAGTCCAGAGAGGAGGGACAGCGCACACAGAGGACAGAAAGCAGATCACAAGGGTCCTCAAACACTGAGCTCGGGAGTCTGAACTATGTTCCAACAGCATGCATGGAGTCCACTGAAGTTCATGGCCACACCGACACTTGAGGAAGACCAGCCTCTTACCAGCTTGAAACCTCCCTGCAGAGGGCAGTACCCCATGGCATTCTGGGTACTTCACACATATGTCAGATGTTTCTGCAGCTGGGCCAGGAGGAGAGAAAGCCAACAGCCCTCATGGGCACCCTCTCATCCTCATTTAGGCCAGAGCATGGTCTGTGGATGCAAAGTAATCTGGGTTCAAATCTTGACTCTTTCACTGAACAGTTGGGTGACTGGGAGAAAACTCCTCTTCCCACCAACACCAACGTTGCTGTAGTGAGGAGGCTGGCATGCAGAAAATGATCAGGGGAAAATCACACCCCACCCTCCCCTCTCACCAGCAATATGAGCAGCCTTAACATGTTCACCACGGGGCCATAATCCATATGGCTCGCTGCTAGGTGGCTCTGAACCACCAGTGGTACATACATGACTGCCCCTGGACACTCATGAATGTACCACTGGTGGTTCAAGCCAGTCAAAATGTGTTAAAACCTTTGCCCCATGAGCCTGAGGGCTGCTGTGGAGACACAAAGCCTGCAGCTGCAGGCTCCCTGTGGCGTCTTGCCTCTCTGGGCATATTTCTGGGTCTCGTCCTCTTTTGTTGCTCCTTCCTTATTCTTTCATGTTTCAACACATCTTTCCTTTTAGTGGGTGCCAGATGGGCTTTAAGAGGATACTGAGCTCATTAGCAGCTGGCAGGGAACAGAAAGAGGCTGGGGCTTTGGTGGTGTGGGACAGGAAAGGAGCCGTGGTGAGAGGGACAGGCAAGAGAGGCTGTGTTCACACGCACTTTCAGAGCTCTGTTTCCTTCCCAGGAGGGAAGGGGCTGACCTGAGCCACCCACCCCATCCTGCGCATGCTAGGAGGATGAGTGCCCTGGAGTCTGAGTCCCATGTGGGCAAAAGGATGTCTGCACCATCACCCCTTTCTCCCAAGCACTGGTAGAGGACATGAGTGGAAAGAAAGGGGCTGCCTGCTGGGTGGAGGGCTTACATCTACGACCATAGCTTCATGCCGTTTGCCAATACACTCAGGCCGTATGCCAATCCCATCGCCTTGGGAGGCTGCAGTTCAGGACTCTGTGGAGGCAGCAACTTGTGTTATTCAGAACTGAATGGTTCTGGGGTCCCTGCTGAGCTATAGCCCCTTGCCCTCAAGGGAAGCCCCAAATACTTCTCTGTCTCCCATCTCCATCAGCCTCTCTAGTCTCTCTCTCCATCCTGTCTCACCAAGTCTCTAGCTCTTTCTAGCTACCATTTGTTGAACACCTACTCTACGCCAGGCCCTGCGCTTATTGGTCTTAGAGACATATTCCTCCCCACACTGTGTGAGACCAGCCTGGTAGGTCCCCCCTCTCTACAGACTGGGTCGGCCTGCAGCCTCCGTTTGCTCAGAACATGCGAGGATCGTGACCCCATTAGCACCCTCTTCCCCCATCTGATGGGTGCCAGCTTTTTCCTCTGCAAAGTGAGCCAAGTATACAACATCCTGGGCAGGGACCAGACAATCCACAGGGCTGGTGTCGCCACTCACCAAGGCTGTCATCCTTCCTCGTGTCCTAGACGGCTCGCTGAGCCTCAGTGTCCCCATCTGTTGAATTCGGGGAAGACCCCTATCCCGCCTCCCTCCAAGAGTTAGCGAAGCATCTTGCAGCGATCAGGCTGAGGGCTCCTTTGTGGGACAGCAGCTTTCGTTCCTGTGGTTCGTGTTTCCAGCAGGAGTCTCAGAGCGTCTAAGCACAGCCTATTTTTAGCACCAAAATGAACCTCGGGCGGGGTAGAGCTGCCCGTAGGACAGGGAAACAAGAGGTCCAAACTGCCCTGTGCCTTCTCCCCGGGCAGTGAAAAGGTCAAAGGCCTTGCCCTTCCAGATTCATGGGGAGGGAGAGCCAGGTCAGGGTGGAAGCCTCCCAGCTTGATATGGGGGACAGAAGCAGGGTGGGCAAGCCCAGAAACCCGCTGACCCTCTGGCCACCCAACATTGGCCAAGAAATACCTCCTGAGAAACCTGATTTGCAAAGGCTTGCTGTCTTCTCAGGCTGGGTAGGAGGCCCCCTAGGAGCTGGGGAACCCCAGGAAACAGGGAAGCTTATGCTAGAGGTGAGATTTGAGTCTTAGCCTGATAATAAAGGTATCTAAAATCACTCTGTTTGTTGAGTGCTTACTATGTGCTGGGCAGCATGCTAAGTACCTTACTACCACTGGGCTATTTACTCATCATCGTAATCCTTTG